ACGCTGGGCAGCAGGGAAGATCGCGTCGGAAGTATCCACCGAATCCGACATCTCGATAGTATGATGCTGAACGGACGACATTGTGGGGCGCTTCGACTAGAGATTGGTTTTAGAATATGCCGTTGCGTACAGCGTTCCTAGGAATCACTAGAGAGCTTTTGGCGTGTGACTATTGGCATATTCGTTTATAGATCATGAGGGACAGAATGGTTGGGCTGGGGTGGGTTGGCGATGGAGCCTGCGAAAAGCTGAAGGCTGAGGCCGCCTCTTACACACCTTGCGCAGTCATGCGTGAGGGTCGCGCATACACGCCATGCCGCACTTCTGTAATCCCTGTTCGTGAGGCAACGCAAAGCGCGATACGCCGCGGAAAAAGACTGGTGCGTCCGTTTTTATAATATCTAAATCAGATGTAGCATGTAAAAGATCTACCATGTGCTGGATAACGATGGTATGGTATAAACATGCAGCGGCGAGGAGGTGCCAGGTACGCCCCCGCAGACTAGGCCCAAAACTGTCTTCGCGCTTCTCCCCACTTGCCCTAGTAGGAAATCGCTCGCCTCCAAAATAATATCACATCTGCACCAAAACAGCCTCCATGTAAAAGCGTATACGATTAGACAGATCGGAAGCAGGTCATAGTACATGCTATCCGATCTGAAATGAGATGCAGATCGCTTCAGTAAAGATCTTTCTATCGCCTTTCTTTGAACTCGAGCACATTCGCCGAAGATGCAGTAAGTATGCTAGCCAACATCCAGAGTTGTACGTACATCTTCATCTCCATGCTAACCTGCTGTATTGTGGTCAAGCCTAGTGTATCCTGAATGTGACATCGGGGTTGTCGCTCGTTCGTTTACGCGTAGCCTGGCCATCCATGTAGCCATCAACATAACTGTCGCAGGGTATCAGCAGACTGTCAACGGCGGAACGAAAGTAGAACGCTCAAGCCATGACGAAACGAGACCTACCATTCACCGATCAGAGTGAAATTCCCATCTTCAGGCCGCAACACATAGGGAACCTCGCCACCATGGAAGATAGCAATGACATCTCCTACCGCTGTGTGCGCTGGCACGTTTGCCACCAAATCTGAATATGTCTTTGCAAAGCATCTTCCGGCTCTAGATCCTCGAGATTGAAGCTCAGGCAGTAGCCGCGATGCGTCTGGAAGCTCGGTGAACCAGTCTCGCGATTGTGTGGTCATGCGTTGAAACGCACAAAGTGGATTCTCTCGACAGCGATTCTCTAGTGCGACGCGGACTAGTAATCCCCATTCGACCCTTACACTTTGCCTATTGTCTATGGTGTCAACTATCTTTTCCGCGTAACTTATGTTGCCAATGGGCCATCCCTTGACGCAAAGTGTTTCTCCGTTGTCCACGAACGTCGGAATCGTCGCGCAGGTTCCGTATAGTTTAGCTTGCTTTGCAGTGGCACTCGGAGATACTAGTGGATGATCCTCGATGTGAGTCCACGTAGGAACCCAGGAGGGTGTACCGAAGCCGTCGAATACCGGTGTGCGGTCTACCATTGAAAGAACGTTAAAGCTTCCAGAACGCTCGATTGAGATCTTCGCTAAGCTTGTCATGACGCGAGGAAAGGGCATAGTGTAGCCAGCTTCAAACCATGGTACCTCGTCGACGCTCAACAGAGCTAGTATGGAAGTTAATGTATCCCGTGGATCTGTGCAAGTAGTGTTGCGAAGCATATATAACAGTGCTTCCGCTATGAATGCTGGGCCGCTGAGTCGCAAAGATTTTTGTAGATCCTGGCTCTGACGACATTGATACCACTTTTTGCGAAATTTCCGCAACCACTGTAAGTCCGAGAAATATCTGATGGCTGAAATCGTTTCCTCGTCGGTCGGTGTGCTGTCGAATTCGGGTGTTTTTCCTTGCACAACATTCATGAGATCCGCCCAAGACATCTTGCCTCGTGCCCAATGGATCTGAATGTCGCGCGCCAGTATAAGCTCCTGTTGAACCCAGCGGCGATGCCAGTACGTCTGAGAATAGAGACAGCGAAGGAAAGTTGGTTCAGTTATGTCGTCAGTGAGCTCATCTGGAAGCCACGCCTGTGTACTACTTGCGTATTCCACAAACTCTGCCACTTGCACAATCTGATGAATTCTCTCCATCATGTTAGTTTGATCAATACATATGGCATCGACCCAAAGTATAAGGGGCTTTGAAACATCACGCAACCCACACAACGCCTTAGCAAGGTTCGATACTATCCAAAGAGGTAAACCGTTTACGTTGATGGGTGAGCTACGATCAGATGGGCCCCAAACATAGGACAGATAAGAGTAATTCGCTCGGTTCCGTAGATTGTCCACGACAAGAGAGCATCGAAGAGAGTCGTCACGTTTCTCTGCTGGATGCAAAATGACCAAGCGAAAGTAACCAGGATCCAGTGGATAGTACAGAGACGCCTGGTGTTGCGAATCTCCAGATGAGGGCCCTGGGCACTTGTCGCTGGGGCTGAAGTTTCTGCGATAGTGCGTGTTTCGAAGGAGATTACCGAATAGCTTATCACAACGGTTGGAACCCAGACAACTTTGTGTAACATTTCGTACATGCTGTTGCAAGCTAGAGTAGTCATCATACATGTCGAGATCCGGAAACTCGATCAAGTTCCGTATCTTTGATGCCAACGCTGCGTTTGTAGCTTCGCCTTGGTATCGGGTAGCGTCTGTCTCTAGAAAGTAACTTGCTAGATGTACTGGCCAGCACTGATTTGCGTAATCCAGCATGGTCTCGCTTGTGGTGGAGTTTGCCTCTTTCGTCGCTTCCAAGATGTAGATGAAGCAAGTCTGCGACAGATATAAACTTGCGTAAGCTTTATCGAACCAATTTGAGTCGATCCCAAAGCGTGCGGTATCTAGCTCCAGGAGATATTCGTTGACCGAGAAGTGTGCCATAGTAACAAAATGGGTGCCAAGCTTGAGACTGATTACGTCGTCTTCAGATAGCGGAGGGTGGATACGCACGAGTCCGCTTAGATCATCTATGAGGTCTAGACAATGATCCATCTTGTGCTGCTTCGAATCGAACGGTTCTCTCATGGGTGGTGTAATGGCGCATGCTTCGACTAAGTCCTCAATCAACATCGAGCGTGCCGAGAACATGACCCACTGCAATGGCTTTAGAGTCCTCCTCCTAGAACCGCTCTCAATCTTGTCCAAGATACGATCGTAGAAAACATAAAGTGTCGTGGGTAGCTTTTCGAGTCGGCCTTTAAAATCTGCAAGCGTGGTGCTCCTTCGTGGGGTAGGCTTAAACAGTTCATCTGTAAAGAGACTGGCAAGTCGGAACCTTGATATGTTGTTAGTACTTGTTGAAGAACCGACAAACAGTTACAGTCGACTCACATGCCCGCGGCTCTCTTCACGACTTGAGCGTTCAAAATTTTTCTGCTCTCTCTGTCTAGTCTCGTGTCTTCTTTTACTCTTTTTCCAACAGCGATAGCGATGTCCCGATCAACTTCCGAAGGAGGAATTGACAACTTTCGCCAGCTTGAACCTAGGCAACAGTGTGACGGGATGCCATTATCAGGACGAGTGAAAAGGACTACGCGGATGCGAAAGTCTTCACTGAGTCTTTTTGATCCCACCAGCCGGTTCAACAGTTTCATATCCGCCGTTCGTGATCTGCACGGGATCTCGTCTATAGCATCTATCACTAGTACGATAGACGCTTTTGCCTTGATAGGTTTTCTCGTCCTCAGAGTAGTCACTACGCGCTCAATGAACTTTTCAATCTCTGGTATTGTCGTTGCCGATATATTCGTACTTTTTGCTTGTACGATGCATTCAGGGATCGGTTTAGCGAAGCATAAGTGCGCCAGGATAGTATGTCTCAAGAACTTTAATTCATGAGTGTACGTGTCGTTAAATGAGAAGATCAAGGGAATGACCATATTCTGGCTATCCTCGCGTTGGAAGGTCTTCTCCAGGCGTTGTATAACGAGAGAGCAAAGAATGCTTTTGCCACACCCGACTGTAAGAGGTTCAGTGGAAGATCTAATCGCTATAATAATACGCAAAAGTTCATCAATACTCGTTCGAGGAGTCTTAGCTGACTCTCACTTTCTTGAACAAAGGATTTGAACACGGGGTCTGGGTAAGTAAATAATGATCGTATTCAATGAACTGCATGCTCACCTTCTCCTGTCAGCCAGAGACCATTTTGCGAGGAGTCGTACCACATTTTGAGGGCCTTATTTAGTAGCCATCGTCCGCAGCCTGGTGCGCCGGCAATGCTGCGCATTTCCGGTTGGTTTCGTCCTTTGGCCCAGTCATCAAACAACCACGGTGCAAACCATTTTTGAATAGCCTCGCGTTCAACATCTATCGCTAATCAATTTCAACGACTATATTAGAAATAATGGGTGATAATACCAGGGTTGCCAACACTGAGCTGGATGTTAGAGCCGATCTGAGTAATGCCGTGCGCCTCCGTCTTCACGTGTTTGACTTTCTGTTGAAATCCCATGTCGGAGATGAACACTCTATTTTGTGTAGCACGAGCATGACTATATCACAAACCTAATGAATGTTGTGCTTGGGTAAACATCAGATCAATAATCAGGGAAGAAATGTGCTCATCCCGTCCATCAGCTTTTACTGCTCAGGTGATGTGTTCGAATTTGCCCAGAAGCGCCGCAGCTGGAACCGCGTCTCAGCTTTCATATTTCTTGGATCGTTGATTCGTTTACGTACGCCCATATGCAGCCATGACAAGGACTCTGTGCATGGCAGCGACACCCAATAATCTGATAGGAACGAGGAATCGTTCACCGGAAGCCTCTCGTCAGTTTTTTTTCCAAGCTAGATATTCGACTCACCGCTGTTGCTGCGCCACACAGGCAGATTTGGTTGCGCCTGCATCATCTTGCTTACAACACGGTGCTACAAGTCTTGGTATAAGACATGTGCACCCCTTTGGCTTAGCAGTTCCAGGATCTCGATTGCAAACCAGACAGCCCCACGAATCATGTCTGTAATTGGAGAAGCAGCTGCTATCGTCGGCATCACTGATGTTGCTGTAAAAAGCATCAGAGGCCTCTACGACTTTCTCCGAGCCATCAACGATGCCCCCGGAGATATCGCACTTCTTCGCGTCCATGTAAAGTATATAAAAGATAAGCTTTCAGACTTGGAGTTTTTGTCCGGAGCCGACGCTAGAACGGTCGATGAAATCAAAGAGACTGGCATTGCGACGGTGATCAACGACTGCGGGACGCAATGCGACGAGTTCGAGAAGCTCGTGGGGACGTGGATCAAGCATGACGAAAAGAGCTGGCGAGATAAAATTCGAGTAGCGTTGAACCAGTCTAGGATACAAAAGTACAAAGCGGTGTTGTGGTCAGCGGCAAGAGAACTGGACTCGGCGGTGGGCATCCTGAATCTGTAAGTTCATATCGCGTCCAAAAGCATAATGAAAGCTAATGTCCCTGGTAGAAGAATCAACGTGTCGAATCGATCGCCGGAACAGCAGGCTGCTTCGATGAACCAGCTGAAGGAAGAAATGGTATTGTGGGCAGTTGAGGCCGATGCAAGGCGCAATAGCGTGCCGCCGCCTTTAGTTAGAATCGCTCAGTCCGACGAAGACGAGGCCGAGTGCGTACGAAAGGAGTTGGAAGCGGGTGATACCACGCTGGAAGAGTTCATAAAACGCTGCAAGGCTACAGCGGCTGCTCTCCAAGCGACCAGATTGGACCAGCAGATCGGGATGATTCAGACTGGTGAAGAAGCCTTCGCACAGGTGGGAATGCCGAAAGAGTCGGTGGAGAAGGTGAGCCGGCAGCACATCTTAGACGTGATAACGGAAAAGAAAGGCAAGTCTCAGATTGGGATCTGGTAGGCCAGGTCTTGATGCTGGCAGTACAGACAGGATTGAAGGAATGAGTGAGAAACGAAGGGTTGGGGACCAATTCACGCGTACGCGCTGCGCGTGTCTGCCCCGCACTAGGCCCAATCAACGACGCGCGCCCTCCACGTGGACATCTCCTCATACATGCTTTCATGGACCAGCACGGCAATCTTTATAATCCATATACATAGGCTCTTGAGCCGACATGCGTAGCGATGCAGTCTGTTAAACAATTATTGCAGTCTTCACCAATCTACGCGGACACTGTCGGCATGTCGTGAGCATCCCTTGATCCAACGCGGTTGCCCTGCGAATACTAACATTCGCAGCCTCAGCTTCAGGAAACAAAGCTGGCATAACCAATGCACTATGCCCAGGTGGCCTAAATGATCTAGCAAGCGCTACCGGGAGGCTTCCGGGTTCACCCAGTCGAATCAGAGATATCACTGCTACCTGGAAACCGCTCATATCACTTCCACATCTCGAGATGCTGAACGTCCCATCCCTCTACCGCAAACGAGCCTCCCCACCACCACCACCACCACCACCACCTGTACGATTAACACCATCACCAAACCTAACACCGGACCCAAATCTCAATCTCAACCACACTACGCAAACCCTCCCTTCCGGCACAACCTTCCACATCTGGACCCCCTCCCTCTCCTCCCCGTCTGTCGCAACAATCATCCTCCAACACGGCTACGCAGAATACTCCTTCCGCTATCTAACATCCCACTCCTCCCTAATCACCCACCTGCTCGCCGCCAACTACACAATCTACGCCCTCGACCTCCACGGCCACGGCACCTCTCCCGGCCACCCCCGCGCCGTCGTCCACGTAGGAAAAGCCGTAGCCGACCACCTCGAACTACGGCGTTATGCTGTTGAACAAGGAGGGGGAAGACCGGTCGTGTTATTCGGGCATTCACTGGGCGGGTTAATTACTGCGGGGAGTGTGGTAGAAGCTCCAGAGAACATCTCCGGTGTGATCCTACTCAGTCCCGCCCTCCCCGGCCCCTTCCCCTCCTTCGCTCGCCTAGCCGTCGGCGTCTTAGCCCACACCCTACCCACAGTCTCCATCCCAGGCCGCGCAGTACCCATCTCCAGCCTCACACGCCGTGCGGTCGAAATCGAGAAATACCTGGCCGATCCTCTGTATTCCAAGAAACCGATATGTTTCTTAACAGCCGCGACGGCCGTGGATGTTGCAGACAGTGTTAGAGCGAGGATGGGGGCGTGGACAGTGGCGACGTTGGTGGTGCATGGGGACGAGGATGCGTATTGTGATTGGAAGGGGAGTGAGAGGTTTGTGGATGGGATAGGGAGTGTGGAGAAGGTGTTTGAGGTGGTTGAGGGGGGGAGGCATGAGTTGTTGAATGATGAGTGTGGGGAGGAGGTTTTGGAAGTGGTTTTGGGGTGGATTGGGGGACGGGTTTAGAGATGGATGGTTGTTGATTGCATGAGAGTGTGTGATTGATGTGCTATGAACGCCGCCCAATGCAATACCATCCTAGGCTATAGCGATGCATAGCAATGCGAGCCGGACTACTAATTATACAAGATGCTGATATCCGTATCTCGTTCTACGTGATTGTGGATGAGCACGGAATTAAAGTGGTATCGTCCTTGAGCTCAGAAGTGGGGTCATCTTGCGGAAAAATGTGCAAGTTGAAATCAGAGCCATCACCCAAGCCGCTTGCGCTGATCTCCTTCTTAAGAAAACACTGAACATGTCTAGACAGTACTTCCACTGCTGAACACCTTGCCAAAAGCATCTCCCTCTTCCATACTCAGCCCCTCGTCTAGAATGTCATGCGCCATGTTGACGACTTCATCTTCGATCCCCGCTTCTAGCACTAAGCCCTCACTGAAGGCCAACCGCGTCAGCGCGACGAGATACGCGTGGTGCCCACCTAGCGTATTCACCAACTTGCTCTTGATGTCGAAATCGGCATTCGTCGTGGCGACGTGATAAATCAGCTTCATAGTCGCATTGATGGAGTCGACTTTTCGCTCTTGGGTTGGTGAAATAGGATGTCGATACAAACTCGTCACGCAATGGTCAAGGTACTTGATCAGTCGACCAATGCAGAGGCCATTCTGGGCTAGACGACTAGAGCCGTATTCTGGGATAGAGAACTGCGTCAGGACCGAGATGACGAGCAGACGAAGGTCCCAGAGATCTGCTTCGGAGATAGCTGGAGCTTCATCGGAAGACTCCGAAGGATCTGGGACGGGCTTGGGCAGCTCGGTGAAGAGGTTGGTGAGACGATGGACCAGGGCGTCTTCGTTACTTGCTTGGTTGTCTTGGGCGGAATCTGCGAATGTTATGGGTCCTATTGAGGTGGATAGTGCAGAGGTGCCAAGTATGCGCAACATGAGCGTGATTTGGGCATGTGGCTGCTCTTTGACGAGGAGCATGATGGCGAAGCTTGAAGGGATCGCTTGCCAGAGACGAGCTATTGCTGTTGGATCTATTGAGGACACGCAGCTGCTGGCGATGAGATACAGCAACTCAAGACAGTCTTCAACATCGATGTGATATGCAATCTCTCGCTGCTTCGGGGAGTAGAGATCGGCAACGGCCTTCTCGCCGCCTTTGGCTGCTTTCGAGATAGGGTCGGCAACGAGATCGACAAAAGCGATTATGAGCGGCACTACGCGCTCGGTGATCTTGACGGCGGTTTCGATGGGCTCACATGCGAGGACGAAGTGCAGTGCATCGAGTATCAGAGATGTCGGAGCGTAGTACTTCTCGGACTGACACCGCTTCCATAGGTCAAGGAAGATGTGACATATTTGTACTGCTAGCTCGTGCACATCAGATGTGTTTATTTTCGCCAGGGCATCATACACGATCGAAGATAATTTCTTGGATGGCTTGGACGGGAATGCATGCGACGTAAGTGCTTCGAGGACGCGATCGGTGCCATTTGATGATGGATGTGACAGCAGGCGGTGCAGTAGGGTGAATCGGCGGTCGTCGCGTCGAAAGTGCTCGAGCAGTGCAGCGTCTATGACAGGACCCACGGCTGGTGCTGGCTCTGTGTCTCTGGGCCGAGTTCGCGGTTCGCTCAGCTGCAGCGCAGGCAGTGGTATGGGGCTCTGGTCGATAGCCTGCCGCTTCCTCTTGCCGGCTTGCTTTGGCGTCGCCGTCTTCTGCCTCTCACGGTACTTTGACGGTGATGCCATGACAACGTCGTCGTCGTCAAAACCATCGCCCAGTGGCCCTCTCGTCTTCTGCCCCCTCTTAGGTGTGCCAGCTGGGCTGATTGCCTGCGCACCTGACTTTGGTCGTGAGGGAATGGTCCTGCCAGGCCGTCGGGTCATGACAGCTTCTCGCGCCTCGTGCTGATTGAACATGTTGTCCGTCTGCACCGACTCCTTCTCGCGCCGCAGCTTCTCCATCTCGGCACGCAGCTTGGCCAGTTCGGTGCTGTGCGACTGCTGCTGGTCCGCCAGCTGGCGCTCGTGTTTGCGACTTTCGGCATCGTAGCGCCTTCGAAGGGTATCGGCCTCGCCCGCCTTGGTCTGCAGCTTCCCCTTCAGCTCCTCGGCTTCTCGCTTCTCGCGCGCCTTGTCTTGCTCTAACTGCGATGATCAGCGGGGCGTCTACAGACTGAGGTGGACGCGTCGCACCTTCTTGATGCGGTGGAGCAGCGCATTGGGGTCAGCCTGAGACCTGCGTGGCTGCTCTTCCACTTCCATCTGGTCATAATGGCAATGCTCGATGATGTCGTTAATGTTGTCATCGATGTGACTGTCGTAGCCCTCCTCGTCCAGCGCATATAGAGGCGGCGGACTATGCGCATCGTCCAGGTTGACTACCTCGTCGCCATCGTCGGGGCCGTAGTCGGACTCTGGCTCGGTGTCGGGCTGGTGCTGCGTCGCGCGGATGGCGCTCGCCTCGAGATGCTGCAGGGCGTCGGCGGGGAGGTCGTCGAGGTCATCGTCAGAAAAGTCGTCGAAGTCGTCGTCAGCCATTGTCGGTCCATCTGCCAGCGGGCCTGCGCGTGAGCATGTCCCAAAGCGGTCGCGATGCGGGGCGCATGGACGCGTTGTTGGCGTGTTTGGGTGCTAGGGAAATTCACATGCAGGCTGCAGGGTCGCTAAGCTAAGCGGCGGTGCCATGACGCAAGCTGCCCGTGGTTACTTGTCCGCCAATTTCACTACTTGGCCCAGTCGAGCCTGCCGCCAACACCACCTCCTTCACCCACCCCGCCCTCACCCATCGCGCCTTCCCCTCCGGCCTCGCCCCGGCTGCCCCTATACCCCCAAGGATACCAGGCGCAACCGCCCTCTCCTCCTTCACCATGGCGCGCCCGAGAAAGGACGTCAAGTTCAACCACCAGGTCCGCAGCGCCAGCAACGGCAGGGCGCGGAGACCCTCGCAGAGCATGTCCGAGTACAGCGACCCAGGCAGTCCGACTATCAAAGAAGAGACGGCCCCTCCCGTACGTTGGCAGCCCTCTGCCCACGTCTCCCCAGCTGACAGCGCCAGGCCTCCGAACAGCCCCCCCAGACCGAGTACGAGAAGAAGAAGGCCAACTTCATAACGCGCACCACATGGACCCTCGTCATGATTGCCGGCTTCTTCTGGGCCCTCGGCGCGGGTCATCTCTTCATAATCATCATCGTCACGGCAGTCCAGGTCATATCCTTTAAGGAGGTCATCGCAATCGCAAATGTGCCCAGCAAGGCCCGCAGCCTGCGCTTCACCAAGTCGCTGAATTGGTACTTCCTCGGCACCGCCATGTACTTCCTCTACGGCGAGAGTGTCATCTACTACTTCAAGCACGTCCTGATGGTCGACCGTCTGCTGCTGCCCCTGGCTACTCACCACAGATTCATTTCCTTCATGTTGTACATCATCGGTATGTCTACGAATTCCAATTTTTGTACCTATGCTAATTTCTCCAGGCTTCGTCTTCTTCGTCTTCTCGCTCCAGAAGGGCCACTACAAGTTCCAGTTCACTCAGTTCGCTTGGACGCACATGGCCCTCTTCCTCATCGTTGGACAGGCGCACTTTGTCATCAACAACATCTTCGAGGGATTCATCTGGTTCATTCTCCCCGTGTCCATGGTCATTACCAACGACATCTTCGCTTACCTTTGCGGTATTACGTTTGGACGGACACCCCTCATTCAGATCTCGCCCAAGAAGACATGGGAGGGCTTCCTCGGCGCCTGGTTCTTCACTGTTATCTGGGGTATGCTCGTTGTCCACTTCCTCGGCGACTACAAGTACTTCATCTGCCCTGTTAACGATCTGGGCGCAAACATCTGGTCCGGCCTCGAATGCCGACCCAACCCCGTCTTCATCGCGCGCGACTACACCGTTCCCTTCCTCCCCGAAGGTCTTCCGATTCCGCGAACATTCAACATTATGCCAGTGCAATTCCACGTCATCATGCTCGGAACCTTTGCGTCTCTTATCGCGCCGTTCGGTGGCTTCTTCGCTTCTGGCCTGAAGCGCACCTTCAAGATCAAGGACTTTGGCGACTCCATCCCCGGTCACGGTGGAATGACTGACCGCATGGACTGCCAGTTCATCATGGGTTCCATTGCTTTCTTCTACTACTCAAGCTTCATTGCCGTGCACCACACCACAGTCGGTGGAGTGATTGAAGCAGCCATCACCGGACTCACCTACGAGGAGCAAATGGAGGTTGTCAAGATCATGAGCAAGCACTTGGTAAACCAGGAAGTGATATCACCAAAGGTATGTGATGCTCCTATTCCTACAGGAACAATGACTGACAGCTGCAGGTTCTTGAACTTCTTTCAGAACAAGTTGTGAGGAGGTGAGCACGTGTTAGTGTGGATTACGACGGACAATAGGTATTTAGGGATGGGAAACAACGCTACGCCTGACGCTGTTTCGATATAATATGGTACGGAAGGGGCATGGGCTTTGCATGAGACGTGTTGGTATTTGGG